TGCCACTCCACCGCCCGGGAACTCCCTCCGACTGGAGTTCCTGGTGGACATACGCTTGGCCCTGGGAAGGTGCGGAATTACTCTTGGGGAAGATTTCTCCAGCGCTGAACTTGGCAGCTCCTGACATTCCCATGCCACCCGCTGCGCGCCCGCACTGCACGCAGGCACACACGCCCCTCCGGACCTGCCAGGCTGCGCGCAGTGCCGGCTGCCCACTCCGGGCCCGCGGCGGAGCGGGGTGCAGAGCCGAGGACCGGGGCCGTCTGAGCACCGGGCGGCTGCACGGGCTATTCCCACTCCCCGCCTGGCCCCGGTTTCGCATTACTTCGGGCCGCTGGCACCAAGCCCGTGTCCTTTTGTGCTCTCCCGGGAAGCCCGCCTCTACTCACCCAGGCTGCGTGCAGGTTCCGGCCGCCAGCGGCAGCCCTCTGCCCCATCCCACGAACACTGCGGCGCCCCCGGCGTGTGCAATGCGGAGCCCCGCCAGCGCGCGGCCGGAGCCGGGGAGTGCGGGGAGGGAGCCGGGGAGCTGCCCGCATTTCTCCCCAGGAGGGCCAGGTCCCCATCCAGGTGTCAACTCTGTTCGTGCTCAGGGCCTGGGCCCTTCCAGGCAGGCGAGGCACCTGCGCAGAACAGCAAGTGGGAGGTGTCTCTGTGCCCCCCCCCATTGTGACAAGGGCCCTGTCAACAAAAATTCCCAAAAAAGAGTATTAAAAAACTGAGAGAGCTTAGTCCGACCAAAGGCTTGCAAAACCCCTCATTTTTATCGTTAGCATGTTAACTGTTAACTATCCTATACCCAGCAATGTAAAAGAAATAGGTGTCTATTTGTGTGTTTTTTTTTACCCAGTCCCAGAGGTTCCCCTCATGGCCCCCCATTGCTTTTTCTGGCCTCCCTAATCTACCTCCAATGGGTATTATGAACCCCCTTTAATGTCTTCTCTTTTGATTATAATGTTTAAAATAAGGCGCAAAGCTGCCATTCTCTGGAGCATTTTCTCAGTCCTCTGAGATCTTGCTTCCCCGGCAACTGTCGTCAGTTTGCTTCAAATAAACTCATTCAAGTTCCTATAGGTTTGGCCGTTTTTTACGTGGGCAGTTTCCTTCCTGCCCTTTGACCTTCAAGTATTCGAGGCAGCTGGGCAGAGGGGAGGGAGGGCACGTCCGCAGAGCCTGCAGTTCCAAACACTGAGGTTCTGCCTTCTCCTGGCCCTGCCCCCGACAGGGCGCCCCCATTCGCAGGGCCTGGGTGGCCACCTTAGAGCTGGGGATTTTCACATCTATCTGATCTATCTGGCTCCTGGGGATGTCTCGCCCATCTCAACTTGACATTCCCAAACTCAAAGGTCACCGGAAGAGTGCCCTCCCCCNCGGGAGGGCTTGAGACCTGCCCGTGGCTCCCGTTCCCAGTGAGCGTCCGAAACGAGCAGTGTTTGCTCAGGTTGCAGCGATTCCTTCCTGCGAGCGACCCCTGCGCCGCTCGGCTCACCCGGGCTGGCGACGGGAAGCCCGGCCGTGGGAAACGGCCCAGCCAGACCTTACCCCCGCCACACCCGCGCCGCGCGGAGCCCGGTGCCCCCGGGAACCCGCTCCGAAAGCTAGTGAGCGCCGAACCCGGGCAGACCTAGACCACTTGACGTTTGCAGTAGAGCATTTAGACCGCGGGTCGAACCGCGAAGGGGAAGGAGAGGCTGCGAGGCAGGTCTGCGTGAGGAAGTGGGAATCCGGGTGTGGGTCTTGGTGAGCCTGATTCTCCCACGCTCTGCCGAACCCTTTCCCCCAAGTGAAGCCCTTCTCTTCCTCCCAGCCTCTCACGAGGTATTGATTTTTCTCTTGTTATAAATCATGTTTGACTCTCCTGGACTTTTCAACCCGGAGCCTCAGAGGGGAAGCGGAGCACGTTCCTAACCGCCTCCCCTCCGAGCACCGCCGAGCGCTGGC